AGCCCTTCCTATAGCCTGGTACACACGACCCGGAAGATCTAATGAGATACCATTTTGACGCCAAAAGTGACGCAAAATAGAAAACGTGATTCGAGCCTTTGAAATTCCTGCACGTACTTCATCAGACACACTTCCGTCAGAGCTAATATAATTACCGATGTATGTAAAGTTTTCCACAATCTCCAGTGATTCTCCTTGAATTATAAGGGATATGTTCACAGATGACACGTTCTGAAGCATGACTTTGCACTTTGAAGGTGAGAGGTGTATGCCAAAAGATGGTATGACGGTGGTCAGTTTATTCAGCAGGGTTCGTGCTTCGCTTTAGTCTTCGAAGATGAGGGCATTGTCATCTGCGTAATCCAAATCGACAAGGCTCTCACCAGCAACAATTTGAACACCGGGGGTTTGGAAGACCGTCCAGTGTCCGGCTCGTTAGTTCATCAATGACGAAGTTGAACACAAATGGAGAGAGTGACATCCTTGTCAGTCATCACTTTTCGTAGGGACGCTTTTGGAGAGTTCACCATACACTCACCCGCCCAGAAGTATGTGAATATAGGGATCGGATTATGTTTACAAACTTCTGGGACGTGCCCTGTTGAGCAACTGTAGTTAACAGCACTGATCGATCGACAGAACCAAACGCATCCTTGAAGTCAAGGAATACCAGGATTGTGGGTCGTCTATACATGTGGCGTTGCTCTAACACCTGACGGAGTGTGAAGATGTGGTCAATGCGGCCTCTACCCGGTCAAAATCCCGCTTGATTCCCACGAGTCAAGATTTCGCATGCCACCGTAAGTCGACGAAGAATTAGTGACGCCAAAAGCCCTGTCACAACAGGCGTCAAACCAACATCTCTGTGGTTGCTACATTCATTGCGAGTATCCACTTTGAAAACTGGCGCTACTATCGACTCACCCCAGTTGTCTGGGACGGTCTCCTTCTCCTAGATAGACCAAAATAGGCTAGACAGGCACTGGCTGAAGAGTCAGTCGCCATTCTTGAAAAGACCAGGTGGTCTTAGGACCAGCAGCACGATGACGCTTGAATGGAGAAATAGATTCAGGCACTTCTGAGAATAAATACGGCTCCATATTAACGATCCGCCTTTTTGTTGAAGGCGAGGATTCTGGATTGGAGATAGCACGTGACCAGCTGAACTGCTGTTCGGAATACTGTGTCCAGCGGTCTAAACGTTCTGCTTTGCTGCATATCAAGAAGCCTAATCAAGTGGAACAGCTTGCGCACGTTTCCAGCATTCTTTGCATTTTCCATTTCTTCGGTCTTTCGGATCCACCAACCTTCTCGGTCTGTGCGGATACTCAGTTTCACGTGGCGCCAGGTGGAGTTGTGGTGGCGGCCAGGTGGAATACGTTTCCAGCTTTGCATTTTCCATTTCTTCGGTCTTTCGGATCCACCAACCTTCTCGGTCTGTGCGGATACTCAGTTTCACGTGGCGCCCGCCAGAGTTGTGGTGGCGGCCAGGTGGAATCCGTCGCCGGGTCTCCAGCAAAGACACGGTCCTATTAGAGATCCAATGCTTGAATGAGGTTGGCTGGGTGTTATGTTCTCTACTAATCAGTCAATCAACCTTGTCAGTTACACACGAAATTGAGAAGACAAAAAGCCTTGAGGAAATTATACTGCAGCAACTGAACAGCCAATATCGAGATTCGAAGAACCAAGAACGGAATGGAACAAAACAGTCCAATGAACGGCTGAAATAGAGAGAGAGAAATGTTGAGCAATATGTTCGTTAGGAGTGCCTCCTAACA